CCGCTCCGGCTGGGAACGCTCGCCTGAGGCGTCGGCGCGGGCAGGGGACGGCGCTCCCTGCCGCTCCCGGAAGCCGCCTCAGAGCGGGGAGACGTGTCGCTGCGGCGTTGCCGGCGCTGCCATGGCGGAGCCGGGCCGGCTTCAGCAGCTGGAGCGGCGTGTGCGGGAGCTGGAGGAGGAGCTGGCCCGGGAGAGGGGCGGCCGGCCGGCGCCGCGGGCCCGCATCGAGAGCATGAGCCCGGAGGTGACGGACTCCAACCCCTACAGGTGCGGCGGGGCTGAGGGCGTGCGGGAGGGCCCCCGGGGGGCGGGGGGCTGCGCCTGCGGGGACTGGGTTGTGGGGAGAGGGCCGGGGCTGAGCCGCGGGGAGGGGGCCCGGGCGCCGAGTCGGGACGTGGGGGCTGGGGAGAAGGGAGGGCGGCGGGGTCCGCGGCCGCGGGTTGGAGCTGTGGGCCTGGGTGAAGGGGAGGCGGCGTGTGGACGTGGGCGAGGCCAGGGAGGGGTGGGCTGGGTGTGCTGAGGGGGGCGTCGGGACGACGGTGAAGACAGGCGCTCTGCGGGGCGGAGGGGAGAGGTGCTCTCCCGTTCCCACCGCCGGGGCTGGCAGGGCCGTACGTCGGAGTTGCTTTGTGTTATCTTCCTGTGTGGTACGGGGGGGGGGGGGGGGGGGGGGGGGGGAGAGAGGGAGGAAACTGTGAGGTTTTCAGCAAAGTTGCTAGTAAGTGGGGCGGGTGTTGGCATTATGGGAGGTCTTACTCTCACTCCTCAAACTTACCTATTTTAGAGTTTGGTTTAGAGCAGTCTTGAGCATCTGGGACCCCTTCTAATGCTCAGCAGTTCTGGAAATCTGATGCTTCCCCCCCCAGGATGAATTGCTTTAATACAAGTTGATACTTGTACTTTCATTGATACTTTCTATGAAAAAATACAATAGCAGGATAAAACATTACTTTAAAATTCTTCCAGTTATCCTCACAACCTGATATTCTGTAATTAATTTTTTTTTAAATGTTATGTTGGAGTTAATCTAATCAAATTGATCAGAAAACAGTGGGAGAGTCTTCACTGGCCTGCTGCCATATGGTTCATTAAAGAAAAAAGTGTAGGCTTTCACTCTGTAAATCAGGGATTCATTTACAAAAATAGCTATGGATTCTCCTGCTTTCGTTGATGTTACTCGTACCATCTGAATAAATCCATGAGTTTCTGCAGGGTTAGTACTCCGTTGCTGTTGCTCACAGGAAGGTATCTACTATCTCTTTTAGACTACCTAGCTGGCAGTCACAACTGCAGGGAAAACAGCAGGCTTGAGTTTGGTGCTTGGTGGGGCTATTTTTAAGGCAAAAGTGATTTTAAATATCTGAAAAGCAAAGTTGCTATTAGAAACGTAGAGAGCATTTTCCATATAACGTTGCTGTTTTTCTTTGTAGTCGATTGATGGCGTTAAAAAGAATGGGAATTGTCAAAGACTATGAGGTAGGATTCTATCTGCATTAAAACAGCCTGCATATTTTTCCCTGTGAGAACCACTTTCGATATACTGATCTGTATTTTATTTCTTTCTACAGAAAATCCGTACCTTTACAGTTGCAGTAGTAGGTGTAGGTGGAGTTGGCAGCGTGACTGCTGAAATGTTGACAAGGTGTGGCATTGGTAAGGTAATGAGAGTTTTCTTCTACTGCTTTATAGTAGATGGACCAGTCTTCTTCGTAAAGAGTTAGATTCGATTTCGCTCAGTTGATTTTGCCCAAACAAAAAAGTACTATGAAGAAAGCACTCAACCACGGCTCTTGGGTAAACATCACAAATGAAGAGTTTGTATTTTTCTTATGCTAGTAAAATTGATTTACTTAGGGCTTAATCCTGTATTGTGTAGATGATTCTTGTTTGGATGCTTGTCTTCTCTGTGCTCTTATATGAGCCCATCTATCTAACCTTCATACTGGATTATTGCAAAAGGAAAACAAAATAAAGAAAAAGAAGGGAGTAACTCGCATAGAAGATTAAGTTGTATGTTATAAGAACAAGTTGATATTCATGAAATTGAAATGTGGTAGATGTCAAACATATTTTTATCACAAACATTAGTTCATCACATGGCAGAGCTAAAAACTTAGTAGCAGTTAAAAATAATTTGGTGTGTGTAGAGATAACAAGAACCTCCAGAGTTAATAGAACAGGATTTATCTTTAAAGAATGAATTTGGGGAATGGCTTAGATGTTTGTATTTCCAGTCAAAGCCTGCCCATTTACTCTTGGAACTTTAAGAAGTTTCTTAATACAGAGGTGATGCAATTTTTTTATTGCAAAGTTTATTCTCCCTTCCGCTGAAGGAGCATTTCCTGAAGACCAGCATCTTGGGCATAAGAAAGGACATTGGACAGTTGATTCAGAATTTATAATAATCAACATGTCCATGTATTATGTAGGTATTTTAAGTGAATTGGTTTTGAAGAACTATATGCCAAGACCAATGAACAAAATTACACATTTCTAGTTAATACCATAACAGCAAGTAGGAATGTGACAACAGAGGTGATAGCATTCGTGTACATGATCTGTTGAATATTCTTAGTTTAGATCAAATGAACGGATTGCTTTTTATTAAGAGTGGTTTTCATGACTTAACAAATCAGTTCCCGGTGAACAGCAGCTAGAATTCAGTCTTTCATGTGCTTACAGTGTTGGTGCCTTTTGTATGTGAACTGAATGGGACGGCGGGGGTGGTGGTTTGTTTGGGTTTTTTTTGTTGTTGGTTTCAGAATGAGTTTTGCTGTTTAAAATGCCTTGCCATGGTGCTGTGGTTGCAGAGTCTCTGAAGATTCACATATGTTAATACAATCTTTATTATAGCTGCTTCTGTTTGATTATGACAAAGTGGAGTTGGCAAACATGAACAGACTCTTCTTCCAACCTCATCAAGCTGGATTAAGTAAAGTGCAAGCAGCAGAGCATACTTTGAGGTATAACTTAGAGAAGTGGGTATCAAAATGTATTTACACAGGATGCTGCTCCAGAAAACCGATGTTTCATTCTAAATCGCTTGCAAAGTGGCATGATCTAGTTTGGAAATTTGAGTATAAAATAGTTGTGGGAATGATTGATACTTTAAGGACATTTTTGTACTGGCCAAAACCTCAGTGTAAGTCTACTTTTTAAGTATAACTAATTTTGTTCAGAAGTTTGGTATAAACTGTACCACTTCAGTATGTTGTGGGTTTTTTTTTTTCCTCTCTCATCTAATCTGTGAATTTTTGACAAATACGGGTGTATTCTAGACTTCAGACTGGAAGACTAAAACTGTAGCAACACTTGTGAAGTCAGGGAGTAGAATGCAAGTTATCATTGGTTTTATTAACATTGACTCATATTATTTCCTCCATAAGGAATATTAATCCTGATGTTCAATTCGAAGTACATAACTACAACATCACAACACTGGACAACTTTGAACATTTCATGGATAGAATAAGGTAAAATCTCTCACCTTCTGCTGGCATGTGGCTCTAAATACAGCCTCACATTTTTACTGTTGGGTTTTTTTCAATTTAATGACTTCCAATTGAAAGCCAGTGGGAAGTATGTATATATGAAGACACTTTGCTTTGGCGTAGTTTCAGGTATGCTTTATAGAATGAAGAAAGAAAATAGTTTTTAGCGGATCTGACAGAGAAGTTCTGAAATAACTTTTCCCATTTGCAGTTATGTTGTAGAAAGATACAATTCTCTAATACTTTGTACTGTAAGTGTATACTATATGAAACTGCTTTTAATCTAAAATGCCCATATATTTAAATCCCAGCTTCAGCACACTGTTGTTTCTACTGTAGATCTAAGATGCTAGTTGTATCCTGTTCTGCATTTGCACAAGTTTTGTTAGAAATACACTTCCCATATGCTTCTGTACTCTAAAGCAGCAAGTTGATTGCCATGTTGGTATTTTGTTCTGCCAGCAATTTCATGCAAACTTGTGATACTCATTTCAGTAACGGTGCACTAGAGGAAGGGAAGCCTGTCGATCTTGTTCTAAGCTGCGTGGACAACTTTGAAGCTCGCATGGCAATTAACACGGTAAGGCCATCAAAGGCATGAGCTTGTGGAAGCCTATTTTCTCCTATAAATAATGTTAGGAATTGTGGGGACTAGAGAAAAGACAGGACCTTACCAAGAATCTTCTAAGAAATTTCCTCCTTGGTTTAAGGAAGCAGAATCTGAGCTTTTACCCAGTTCTTACAAAACACATTCTACACATTCAGCTACAGACTTCTAAGTTACTGGCAGCTGATGATTAGTAAAAGAGTTAAGTGTCATAATCCCTCTCTGTCTTTCCAAATTATCCTGTTTATATAAAGGTATTATCAAAGCCTGGTATGTTAAATCTTACAAACTTTTTAAAGACTGTGTATAGCTAATTGTATACTTCATATGACTTTTTGTATACTAAAAATGCCTTAGGGCTATGTACTTAATCGAACTGCTTTTCTTTATAGTAGCAGCCAATGTAGGGTATATGCCAAATGCATGTTTTCTGTTATTCTTAAGCTAACTTGATCCATAAATTGCACGCACTGGAGGCACACAGATCACTGTATCCATGCCTTTACAAGTAGTTCATGCTGTTAGATTCTGTAGTGTGCTAGTAACTGGATCGTTAATGTATGTGTGTGTTCAAAAATCTCAGATCCTCAGGAAAGCACAAAGGGTTGGCTTCACGGAGATAACTTTAATTTGTCTTTTGATAAAAATTTCTGTTCTGCCTTTTCATGTTCCTTTTTCTGATCATAGTTTTTTTTGTCTCAAAGCAGGAAGATTAATGTGTTTAATTGCTCTCAATTTACAGTGTGTTAGGTGGGTTTTTTTTCTTTTAATTAAACTTCTGCAGTGCTGATGTGTGTGTTTCTGTGTTTGTAAGGCCTGCAATGAACTTGGACAAATCTGGATGGAATCTGGAGTGAGTGAAAATGCAGTGTCAGGACATATACAGCTGATCATACCTGGTGAATCTGCTTGTTTCGCGGTATGCAGTGCTCTGCTGAATTGCTCATTTATCTTTTAAAGCGGGACTGGAAATATGAAGATTAGCTGGCTAGTGAATGTGATCCTGGAACAGCTGATGGAGTAGCTTAAAATTTTGTGTGATCTGTGGGGGTTTTTTAATACTTTTTTTAAACTTCATGTGTTTATTTCCCCTCAGTGTGCTCCTCCACTTGTAGTTGCTGCAAATATTGATGAGAAAACATTAAAACGAGAAGGAGTTTGTGCAGCTAGTCTTCCTACAACTATGGGTGTTGTGGCAGGAATTCTTGTACAAAATGTTCTGAAGTAAGTGACTGAGTTGTTGCTATTCAATGTACAGCACACTAAGAGAAAGAAACCTGAAGGAACATTTCATAATGATGGGTCCGCTTCTTTTTATATGTTTGTGGCATATTTCCTGAAAGTATTGGCATCATTGGACAGGGCTGAAATATATACTGCTCGAATCACTGGTGTGTTTACTTTGGAGCTGCTGTTTTTAGTAGAACTTTTCAGTGGTATGAAAATGTCTTCAGAGTTTTCCTAAGAATTTCTCTTACTGTGTACGCACGCACACAGTTTTTTCTTAGTTCTGCATTGAAACATGCTCCCATTTGACATCACTAAATTATAGACAAAAAATGCTAGTGTTGACTTGTCTTTGAAATATTGTACATGGACAAAGAATAATTTCTCTTGCAGTGTTTGTATTCTAAAAACCTGAGGTGAATTAAAAATAGTTATATAGCAATACAACATATTTTAATATTTTCAAAAAGTACTGTCACATGACTGCAACTGCTGAAAGAACTGCATGTATCAGCAAGGAAAATATTTGAACAACTTTGTACTAGGTTTCAAAATGATACACTGTGTTTTACAAGCATCTTTGAGAACAGGATCTTATTTAGCCTGTTTTTAGCATTAGCTTGGTTTTGTCAGCTATCCTAAAATTTCTAGTTACAAAGAATACAAGTACTGTTTGCAAGTGTGCCTACAAACAACAAAACTCCATTTTCAGCTGTGCAGAGAGGTATTATACAAAATTGCACAGCAGCATGTGTTTTTTCTTTAATGAAGAATGCAAACATTGCAGCTTAATTTAAATCTTTATTTTCATTGCAAATCTGACCCTACAGTAAAGGTGATTAAACTGGTTCTGATGAGGTGTTGAAAACTCTCCCGTTGAAACACTCAGGTGCCCTGTATTACAAGCAATGGATAAAGGCACAGGAGAAAACTGCTTACGTATTACTCTAAACATATTTTTTCTGAGACTGTAGCTGGCTTGTTCTCACACACTCACACCACAAGAGGACCAGGTTCTATGTTGATGCAGTTATGGTGTTGCAGGTGACTACAGCTTATTTTAAGACAATTACAGTAACTTTTGCAACTTCACTAGTGTGAAAGTGTATTCTAAAAGTTCTTTGAGGAAAAAATATTCCTTGAGCAACTGAATTTTTAGGTTTGCACCTGTATATAAGGGCCTGCTTTCTGTTTGTGTTTCTAGATACCTATTAAATTTTGGTACTGTGAGTTACTATCTTGGTTACAATGCGATGCAGGATTTCTTTCCAACTATGTCTATGAAGCCAAACCCACAATGTAGTGACCGAAATTGCAGAAAACAGCAAGAAAATTACAAGGTAAAAATGTTTTGGGTGTTGTTTTTTTGTTTGTTTTTTTTTCCCCTTTCTTAAAGTGTTAAGAACAAAGCGAGCTACAGATCTGTAGTAAAAGAAAATTTTCTTTGCTACTCCAGTTTTCAGCAGCCTTGTCTTCAAATGGTTGCACGTGTTTCTAAATTAGAAATACAGTACCTAAAGTTATCTTAAAGCAAAGGGTAGGCAGAATGGCTTGCATTCAGTTAGATAGTATTTTCTCCTACAGTAATTGCTCCACCTTTCTGGTAGTCATGTATTTTTGAGTGTTAATGGGTTTGTTGTTTTTTTTTTAACTTGCAGGTATTCTGCCTTTTTATGCCTAACCAAGTTCTAAATGGTGACTGCATAACTTAAAAGAAGTGTGAATATTAGATTTGATCTTCTTTGCTGTTGTTGAAAATTGGACTATTATATATATTATGGTTTTTTATGCTTTTGTGTTTTTCCTTCAGAAAAAAGAAGCTGCACGACCAAAACAAGAAGAAATTGAACAGGAAGAAGAAATAGTACACGAAGACAATGACTGGGGTAAGTCATCAGCTGATCTCTGTTTTGGGTGAACACACCATAGGGTACACAGGCTTCTGGTTCCTGTTTTTGCAACTTACGCTGCATTAATTACTGCTGGTTTTTCACAGCCTTTGACAGTAATGTTACCACAGCTTGCTGATGTTTTCTTACTGTAATGCACAGGTTTTAGGCTCAAAATGTAACCGCCGTTTGAAATAAGAGAATGGTCTGAAGACGATATGAAAGATGTGAGGGGATGTATTCACTGTGTGTTCCTTTTAAATATGTAACTAAAGAGTGTTGGTCATTTCCATAACCACTGTGCTGAGACATCCCGTGGGTTTTTATATTCCTCTGAGGGCTTTAAATTCGAAGGAATTGTCTTAAGGCATGGTGAGCGTGTTTTAAATAACCATTTCAAGAGTGGATATATACATTCTGTTTATTACATGATATGGAAAATAATCTTCACTTACCATTGGGAGAAGTGACCTCACGATAAGATTTAAATGGTAAGGACAAGGATGTCCTATAGGAGAAGTGCCATTTTTGTCCATACGTTACTTGTATAGAACCATTTCATATATTGTAAAGGGAAAATATTTTGTATTGATAATGGAATGAAGTAGTTGGAAGTGAAGGCCTTCTTTTCTGCTTTTTTCTTTTATTTTGGAAAAGTAGCTACCATTTTCCTCTTACTGTGATAACATGGTGATTAAAGAACGTTTTCTTCTAACTTTTAATGCAAAGGCATCGAATTAGTATCAGAAATGTCAGAAGATGAGCTGAAGGCTGCATCTGGCCCAGTACCTGAGCTTCCTGAGGGAATTACTGTAGCATATACTATCCCAAACAAGGTAATGTATTTATTCTTTATCAATTTTTGAAATACATATTTTAGATTATAATACCAGCCACTTCAGTTGCCCTTTAAACCTGAAGTAAAATTCCATCTTGAACAATTGCTGTGAAACTGTACCTCAGTACATCCAGTTAGTGCCTTCTACGGTCCAGTTTTGTGTTTCTGTGAAATACATTTCTTCAGGTATGGATGCTAGTGTGAACGTGGTTTTCAGGCGACAGGAGTGAATGTATTTGGGGGCTGGGGGAAGGAAAACAAATGTGAATTTCTCAGTTGATGTTTTGGTGACTGATTTTTACCGTATTTATCTTATAAAAGCTATATGTAGTCAAAGAGCAATGAGTATACCTGGGGAACATAGAATCTGTATCTATTGCAGCCAGAACATTCTAGATTCTAGTCAGGATCGCTTACAATTTAAGCTTATAATCACTTATGCCTGATCTTGCAATTGAGTGCTTGGTTCTAGGAAAATGGTGTGGTATAATGGCAATAAAGCTTATTTGTGCAGAGTTTTTTGTTTGCTGTTTTTGTTGCCAACTTTTTCTTCCTGTTTCTAATAGGAAGAGAATTTGGTAACTGAGGAAACAGTAGCAGAGTCTGAAGAAAGCCTGGAAGAACTCATGGCCCAAATGAGAAACCTGTAGCGAAACAAACATGAAGAACAACTTTTGGGAGTTTGGATTGATGTTGGATTTTGAGAAGACCAGACTTTTTTTTTGTCCTTACCTCCACTGAAGTGTATCATTACATTTCTGCTGAGATGGAACTGTTACAGGGACAGGAAGGAAACACACTTATGGTGTTTACATTCTGTTGTCTGTTCACGTCTTTTAACATATGGAGTTGTGCTAGTGTAAATTTTAATTTCTCAGCATTGCTAGTGTCCAGATATTCAGTAGAAAATAGCAGGAGATGGATAAACTAACAAAAGCAGGTGCAGCACATTATATGCGGTATCATGTGCTGAGAACAGCATGCAGTGCAGGAGCAGTGAAGGACAATGGCTGCTGGAGAGGACTGAGTTGGTCAAGGGCAGGTGCTCCTGCCTCACTCACATTGCTGCTCCTGATTTTCCAGGCACCCGCCCCCATCCTTGTTCACCGGTCTCTCTAAATGCTTGCCCTGGACCACACTGCGGTTACTTTTTCTGGGTAAACAGAACATTTCAGCCTTTTCGTCTGCCTTAAATATCTCTGGGATGGATTTTTTTTTTAAACTTCCCTCATTTTATCAGTGGTTTACTACTGCTTCTTCTTAAATAGCTGCCAGTATGTCTTGTACGTGGTAATGCTTTGAGTGTGCTGCAGCAAGGCAGAGTCTTTGGTTAGTAGGCAACTACACTAGGAGACTGACTATTAGCATGTCACCGTTTCAGCTGGCAGATGCTGTAAGAATTACTAGCAACACTGGAAACAACAGGAGATTTTGTCTATCACTTTGAAAATCAAAATACTGTATTTTTGTTGGTTACTAAAAGTTTAGCTACGATTCTGATCTATCCCCATCATGTGGGCTGTGTTATGGAATATACTTCAGCTGAGTTTACATAGGAAAGCTTCTAAAATTAGATGCTCTAAACTTTGTTTATTGTTGCAAATATCTTCAGTGGAATAGTTGAGCTATTGTACTTGTCTTGTAAATAATGTTAGTAAGGTCATGTTATCTCTTAAATTATCACATTAACCTGACCTGTAAATGTACACATCCTGTCTTGCCAGTACCCTGCAGAACTGGAAGTACCAAATTTTGACTACTGTGGGTGTCTAATCCAGAACTGGGTTATTACTTGAGTTTGGCTTAGAACATAAATTTTGGCCTTTGCACTATAATACAAGTATTTCCAACTTGGGCTGTTCAAAAAACCTTTCCACACCATGATGCAGCCAACACAGAACCAGCTCATAATGGTAGCAGGATCTGACCAACATGTAAAAAGAGAGTAATATCATGGAGGTGCTTCTGGTTCTTAGGGCAGCTGAATGAATACTTGCTTAGAAATCAAATGTGTTTTAACTAATGGTTACAAATGTCAAAATCTGTTTCCTCCACAGTTGACACTAATTATATTATTTACATAAAAATCATCTCTGAAGCTAGTGAGGGAGGTTATGGGTAGGATTTGGGTGTGGTACATTATGCTGGAAAATGGAAGAGGTTTTTTTGGATTGAGTTCAGTTTTGGAGAAACCAGATTTTAGAAATGAACTGTGAAGAGGGATGGGAATAGAGTAATGAGATCGTTAAAAAGGTACATACTTGAATCAGTGTCACTAAGTCTAAATTAGCTTGATCCAAGTGCCAGTTTAAGTGTTACTTACCTTTCTTTGTGACTTTACCTTTCTGTTGGGAACAGTAAAACTGAGGCATATGCCTGGGTCTGGAGATCCAGAGGCAAAATGGCTGACTCATTCCTACAACAGCTCAGTTAATCTTGCCTCTTAACTGCTTGGCTGACCTGACTGCCATCACACAACTGATGGCTTTGTAAGAGGCAACTGCTTACCATTTTACTTCATTACAGTTTTATAAGCAAATTCATACACTTTTGGATGCCCTCTTACCGAGTATGTGAAATGGTTCTCATGTTACTTTCAGACTTTCAAGTTGTATATACAAGAAGAATTTGAAATAATTAGAAAATACATTAAGGTCACTGTATGTGCCAATGGCTAAAATTACTTAAAAATAAACAGCATTAAAAAAAAAAAGCAGCTTTAAGGATCTTTAATTAAAAAGACATTTATAAGTATATATTATACAAGTATGTTATAAAACATAATGGAAAATTTATGACTTCTTCTTATGAACTAACAAAGCATATTGCAATGGTTTAGTCCAGCTTTGTTTACTTGGCAATCTTATAAAAGAAGCTTTCAGTTTTTACAGTGTGTCATGAATGTTGTTGAGATATTGATACTGTGACTGTACGATTAAGTTTCCATTGAAACTGCTCACTTTCTGTTTTGAGGTGGAGTTCTCCTACACCAAAGTATTCGGCATACACCAGATAAAAATTACTTCCTTTTTTTAATGTCCATGATGTGCAACTACAGCTACATGAACAACTGTCTCGAGCACTGTGACTACAGCTGTGTAAGCTTGCAGCCAACATGGGGCCTGCAAGATCCCCCACTGTTACTCACCATCCTGTTTTACTTTCTGTAGAACAGTAATAGTCCATATTGGAAATCATTAAATGCAGCAAGTCTGGTATAACACTGACAGTCTAGAAAGTAGCTTCTTATTTAAGCTAGCAACATTAAGGAAGGCTATTTAGGAGAGCAAGACACATCATTATACCTGTTAAAGTCAGAACAGAGGTGACAAACTAGAGCAGGCACCTGATGATTCGTAACACTGGCTTTAGAGGAGGGAAGTGCCAGGTCTGAGAAGAGTAGGCAACAGAAACACATACAAGCTGAGACAGGTGAGGTTTTGGAGGGGGTTTTTTGGGGGGTGCTTTTTTTGGTGGTCGTGGGTTTTTTTTTTTCCTTTTGCACTTCTCCTCACTCAGTAACAATCCTGCAAAGAACTTTCCAATTTTCAGAACTTTTCAAGGTGGCTGGAATACAGTGGAAAAACTCTTGCTTTGATTAAAACCCCATTTTCTGAAGTAAGGCAAAAATATTCACAGAGCTATTGCAAAGTGTCAACTCTTGTTGCTGTATTGTAATACCTTCAAGAGCTATTTTTGATTCTTTTTCAACTAAATCTTAATCTTGAAAGTCAAATACAGCCTTACCAAAGTACTAAATTATTTCTAACCAGAACAAGGGCTGAAATGGGTTACACTTAACTCTGCTCTAAGAGGGAAAAAATATACAGTGGAAGGTAAGTACCCCTTGGAAGTAAAGGCCATTTGCATTTTTCAAACTGGATCACATAAATCTTTACATCAGTTGCCTCTGAAACATTACAGCGAAGTTTCAATTAATTTTTCACTTACATTCAATTTTTTTTACAAAAAGTCTTTTTTTAGTATGTATTATTTAAATTGGTTCATGGGTTTATGCACTGAATGAGAACAGACTTGCAGACTGGTTCTTCCAGGTGACTAGAGTGTTACAAAATACAACAGGCAGGTAGATTTGATTAGCATCTCTTTATCTGACAGCAAACTATTTTGCATCACTATGTTCTTCCAGCTAGTACAAACATTCTTGTATTTTAAGGGATTCAGTGAGATTAAATAGTGAAAGTACTGCTAAAGGGTTAACAACAGGGAATCGTCTTTGTTCCAATTCCTCACTGGAAGTATTTTTTACTGAACACATTTGAATCTGACAGCAGCTTTAACTGTAGCTGATTATGTATTTAGATACATCAGCTTCCCAAGGTAACCAATTATTTTTGCACAAGTCCCTTGAATGTAAGTTTGCTTAAAGCTGAAATCACCCTGCAGGTAAAACTTTGGGTGGAACAGTATTTTGACTTTTTCAAAATTACTCTCTCTTTACAAAAAACAACTTTGAAAGCTTCTGAAAAGGCAGAAAGGATTGATGAAACAAAAATACACAAATCCTCTAAGTCAGGCTGTTACAACACAGAAGGAAAAACTACATAGAGTATATGCAAGTGGTTCAACGTGTTGTAATCCTGGCACTTAAGCTAAGAGGTATCAAATCCACATGTTTTTGGTATTAGCTGTAACTTCAGCTAGTAATATGCCTATCTATATACAATGAAAGAAGCTCACTTTGTACCATACAGTCTGCAAAGTTAATGTGGAAGGATTTCAAGCTTAAACATTTGTTTCTCTGTCATTTATGAAGACAGTGTCAGTCCCAAAATAATACAGTAGCCTAGGAAAAATAGATTTTCTTAATAATTTTATGTCTGCTTTAAAACAGCAATAGAGACTGCCTTTTCTTTGAGCAGGTTTTATCACCTTTGTCCATGTTCCAGGAAAATGTTTGGTGATAATGCACTTTTTAAGCTGAACGTATCTCCACTCGATGAGTGTCGAGAAGTTGCTTTTCCACCTATCAACAAAGTCTCTGCTTCTTTTATCTCCATAGCTCTCTTGTAAAGTTCAGCTGCCTTCTCAAAGTCTCCCCCTTCATAGCTTTGGAGAAGAGTAAAACGAAGTTGAAACACATAAAACCAGTCTCTTAATTCATTTAAATTGAAATGCACACCATGCTATCAACAAAGATACTTAAGGCACTCTACTTTCCTCATAAGTATTCAAGTCCAGGATGTTTTGTTTCATCCAGTAATTTTTATAGTAATTTGCTTTTATAGGGCTGAAGCATATAATCTTACCTTAGCACAGCTAAGTTTTTCAGAGTTTCTCCCACACGAGGATGCATGTGGCCAAAGCTGTCTTCATAAATCTTTAACGCACGTTCGTAAAGAGGCAAAGCTTCGATCTGCTTTTTCTTTGGGTAGTAGAGAGTTGTTTGTTACAGATGTATACTACATTTGCTATTCTTTTTTCCAACATAGTATCAACACATCCTAGATGCAAAGTCATGCATAGTTAACCAAAAAGGTGTTTTGAGTTCTAGATACTCAGCAGATGAGGATGATAACTGAGACTGTTAAAGCAATTGGCTTGCACTTGCAAATGCAATTCCCACTCATATTACAATAATTAGGGTCTGGACTTCCCAGGCAGTTTTGAAAATTTTTGCATTACCAATTGTTCTTTAATTTTACCTGAGGCAGCTTTAATCCCTGTTTGAAATCAGATATGCAGATCGTAGAAATACAGAAAACAAGAAAACAATCTACAGCTCACTACTATTGATGCTAAGTAAGGCATTTGGTAAGTTCATTGCATCTCCTTTGAGTCTCATACTAGTTGTAGACTAGAAAGTCTACAGCCATCTCAAATTTTTAGTTACACAGAGCTGCAGTTGATCAAGGTCAGCACTCTTCCTCAATTTCAAAGGATTACGTTTCCCTCCCGAGTCAGTGGTGGAGCTGCGTTCCATCATACTGTGCTAACTGCCATATCGGTGAAAATGCTGTACTCTAGCTCTAGTCCTATAAAGCATGCAGGCATTTTGAATCATCTAAAGAGCATTAGGCCAAGTGTCCTTGTGAAATGCCAGTTACAGCAATTATCTGTTCCCTACACACATTCCCCTTGCCAAATATCCTTTCAATTTTTAAAATGGAACCTAAGAATTTGCAAGTCTTATATGAAATTTCCCTTTTAAGTGTGATCAGGTTTCTTTGGTATCATTTAGGTACAAATTGTAAAAAAACCAAAAACCTAAGACAGGAATAATAAACATGTAAGACATGAAAAACTTACCATCTGACAATAAAGGACAGCTAGATTCACCAGAGCAGTTGCTACACTAGGGTGTTTTGGGCCAAATGACTTCTGTCGAATTTCAACTGCTAGTTCATACAGAGGAACGGCCTTGTCGAGTTTTCCCTAGAAAAAACAGGGAAAAAATGATTCAGTTGTCTTGTGTCAAAATGGTAACAGTAAAATCTGTCTTAAACAGAAAGCCTTGGAGAAGATGTAACTGTTTCCAGAATAAGGGTTTAACTTTGGTTAATTCATAGCTATATTCTGCACAGATTGTTTATCATTAATATTTATTAGGACCTAATTTTCCAAAACACTGGGCATATTCAACTTCCAGTTAAGAAAGAGACATAGCTGAGAAACACATTTTTTTAATTATTTTTTTCCCCAGAAGTGTCTCACTGAGAAGGCTGTTAGAAAGAATTTTCAGTTGTACTTTCATCCAAATCATTTTCTCCATTTGTATTTCCTCATCCTGCCGTAAATGAGCAGAGCTTATTCTTTTGTCCTAAAGGACCTAGATTTTACTGGTGATACAGGAATGGGAATGGTAGCTGCCCTAACTTTTGAGCAGTTTTCTGCTTACTGAAGCGGTGTTCGCATCATCTTTGGAACAGCTGCAGCGTCCAATGCCATTTCAAATACCTGTTGCTTCCCATTCACCATATTGAGGCTTTGGCTTCTTGACTTTGGTTTCTCTAAAATACTCTCGTATTCCAACTAGTTTTACTGTAGATTATTTTTCTAGCCAATCTGTTTTCTTCCAAATTTGAATCTGCTCACACGTTAACTGGATATACTTCAGAAGTAAGCTTAGGCTTTTATTATTAGAATGTGAATTCTCATATTTAATAGCAATTAGAAATTAAATACTGCAAATGTCCATTATATAATGTTTCACTGTAATTGCAAAATTAAAATCAATTTTTCTCCTTGTTTTTTCAAAGCATCACTATGCCACAGTTTGAAGATGATGAGTAATTCATCTGGAATAAATACTTATTCATAAATAATTGTCATTTTCTACATCTGATTCCTGTCCCTTCTCTTCCTCCACTCTTCCCTGCATCACTAGTTCACCATGAATTTTAATTTGTGCTCCTTCAAACTAGCAAAGAGCTTTTTGATGCAAATATTGCATGCTTTTGCACCTTCTAGCAGCATGAAAATTAGAAGCTCAAGTGAGCAGAGAATAGATGACCCCAAACAGTTTCACGCACGCAATAGTAGGTAACAATTATTGAGCAAAACTACAGGAGCATTTGATCCAAGGGATTATCTTCAAGGACTCTTTGAAGAATGGTAAAATGTGAAAATATAAAAGAAAAAAATTCTTGTCATCCTCTGAATTTGATCTTGGTTCAACAGCTGAAAACTTTACATCACTCTTACACTGGTATCAAATGGTTAGAACTACCATCTGCAAACAAAGTATTCATAAAACATTTTGAA